TGAAACCTTGAATAAAATGCAAAAATAATCAAGATAATGGAGTAATACATTATGAATTATGAGTATAAATCAAAGAAAAAAGATGATAAACCTTTAGACATTTGTTATATTGGTTCAATCATCATTCATCAACCTAAATTTGTATTAAGCAGCTTGAAAAGGTTGAAACAAGTTGTTTTTGTATAAGATGGGAGAAATCAGAGTGGCAGGATAATTGTGAAAAGAGAATGCATGGTGTAAAAGAATGGAGAAAGGAACAAAACATTGGCCAAGTATGATGTCTTGGGAAGATAGCTGTGCAGATAATGCGATAGAAAAGTGAGGTGAATTAGATGAATGGGAATCAGCAAAACTACATAGAAGCGGGAGTAAATAAAGTGGAAGTGTAGATGATAAGGCAGGAGCAAAGATGAGGACTGGCTCCCATCGGAGTAAATAAACTGGTGATTGTCAATCATTTTTGCTTCTAGATGCTAAAAGAAAAAGGTCCTGGGAATTTTTTCAGGACATGTTTTTGGCCATCCATTGTAAGATAGACAAGTGCCATCTACAATATTGTTTATTTCTTAATACCAAGTGATTTAGATAGTCAGAACCTCCCTGAAATGGGCCAAAGTTGTTGTGAGTTGGCTGAATTTCAGTCAGATCAGCTAATCCAATCAAATTGACAAGTAGTAACTCCTCTTTCCCCTTGGATTTGCCTTGGGAAGATTGGCCTAGGGGCCCAGTCCAAATCTGTTTTATTTAGAAAACAACAGCTTTGGCTTCAGTCACAATTGAGGCAGACTTGGTAAGTTCATAATCATGTTTATACATCCTCTTCCTAACTTCAGATTTGCTGCTTTCTTCAGGGGAATAGACTTGAGTAGATGGCGAGAAATACAGAAAGAAAAGGCTGAAGTGGCTGATCTAGACAAATTTGCTAAGCATGTGAATGAAAATCACTTTTTCCCAAATACAGTGTTGGTTGATTGCACAGCTGATACGAATGTTGCAAACCACTACTATGATTGGCTACAAAAGGGCATCCATGTCATTACCCCTAACAAAAAGGCAAATTCTGGACCGCTTGATCGGGTAATTTTATCCCTTCTCCTTTCTTATGGGAATATTTTCTTGTCATTGTTGCGTCAGTGAATTGACTTTTGTGCTGCTTTCTTAGCTCATTTTTTCTGTATTTTCTTGCTTGACTTGTTTTACTATATTACAGAGGGACTTCGTTAAATTAGGACCTTCTGTATGATGAAATAACTAGCTACATGGTCTTCATAGATAGAGGCTTGTTTCTTTTGCACCCAAAGGCCTCAGGAAGTGTTCTGAAAACATATTTCTTTTAAGACACAAGGTGCTTCTGGAATAGACGACAAAATATGCCAGTTCCCTTATTTTTGTTTGAGTTAGTGTATAAGTTGGAAATTTGTTTGCTAATAGTTATATAATTGAGGGGACTCTATTTGTTCTCCAATCACTAAAGGTTTCTTTTGTGGAAACAATTCTACGTTAGATTATATTTATTCTAAGCTTAGGCTTGTCTCACTGACTATATTGGGCATTGCCCTACTGGTGTACCTCCGTACAATCTTACTCTATTTCCTTTGACTTTTGCAAAGAGATGAAAATTTTGCCTCTTTGCTTCTCTGGATTTTGTAAGTCAAGAATGGATCAAAACTTGGGACCATCAGGTGGGCTAGTTTGAAGGCTTTATAGTTAAATATTAGCAAAATAGCAGCATAGTAAGTTGTTTCTTCATCATTTTGAAATTCTATAGAATCCTTAAGTTGGTGACATTGAATTCTCTATGGTTACCCTTTCAACTCCTCATATGTCTCATACATTTCATTACAAATGCTGACATGCTTCATCAATGTGCAGTATCTAAAACTAAGGACGTTACAGCGGCTATCCTACACGCACTACTTCTATGAGGCAACTGTTGGTGCTGGACTCCCAATCATTAGCAGTTTGCAGGGACTTCTTGAAACTGGTGACAAGATTTTGCATATCGAGGGCATTTTTAGGTAATGCATAGAGCGAGAGATTTAATGAAAAATCATTGCACTTAGAGAAACAATTTCACATGGCTGAATGATCGACACCTGTATTTTCCTGGGTTGCTGTTAATATTGCAGTGGAACTTTGAGTTATATTTTCAACAATTTCAAAGGTACACGAGCCTTTAGCGAAGTGGTATTCGAAGCAAAAGAGGCTGGATATACGGAGCCTGATCCTAGAGATGACCTATCCGGAACAGATGTTGCCAGAAAGGTGAGGATATATTTCTGTTTCCTGATTGACTAGTTTATTCTGAATGTTTGTTTGTATTAGGATGGTTTTGTATGAAATTACTGTTGGGACCTGTAATTAACTATGATTTTACTGGCTTTCATTGGGTTAATATTGTCTTTTATTAGCCGCTAGAACTAAATTTGCTTCTTTCAATGGCAGGTCATAATTCTTGCAAGAGAGTCAGGTCTTAAGCTTGAGCTTTCCGATATACCTGTCCAGAACCTTGTCCCAGAGCCATTAAGAGTAAGAATATGTAGGGTTGCAGCTGTGGCTTGTAACTTGTGTATGATGCTCTCTGACATGTGTATTTGTAGGCATGTTCTTCATCAGACGAATACATGCAGCAGCTCCCTAACTTTGACAAAGAATTGTCAGATGAACGAGATGATGCTGAAGCCTCAGGGGACGTGAGTGATTTTATCCTTTTTCATTTTTTTCAATCTTTGTTTTCTGAGACAATAATTCCTTGCAAGATGGACTCGTTTAACTTGTCTTAAAAATGTAGGTGTTGAGATATGTTGGTGTTGTCGATGTCGTTAATGATAAAGGATCGGTGGAATTAAGGAGATACAAAAAAGAGCACCCTTTCGCGCAGCTGTCTGGATCTGATAACATTATAGCTTTCACCACCACACGATACAAGGATCAGCCACTCATTGTCCGTGGGCCTGGAGCTGGCGCAGAAGTCACTGCCGGTGGAGTTTTCAGTGATATTCTGAGATTGGCATCTTATCTTGGTGCCCCATCTTAATGCCCACATCTTCAATGATTTTAGTGATAATTCCGATTCTTTCACCCCATACCGTGGGTGATAAAGAGAAGCTTAAGCTTTCATCGGGAACCAGTTGTCTCATTCGAGCTTCGGTTGCATGACAATGTGCGACAGATGAAATTTCTGATCGCGCAATATCACATGGGTAACATACTCTCATATGGCTGTCAGGCCTTTTTTTGTCTATTTCAAATCCTATTGACTGTCCTGCATTCGATCTGTCTTTGCAAATTGCATTTCTCCTTGAATTAGAATAATAAAGTGAACAAGCAGTGTTTCCTAGCATCATTTCTTGACCGATCACCATTGGATAACTGCGAGAAGCATATCAATTTTCAACAAAGCATTATGGCATTGATGCAGCCAAAGCACTGGTATGTTTTCTGCTGTTTGTAAACATGGCTCTCATTTCGGTGAATATATACAATATGCTTACAATCGTAGGATTTGGACTTGATGGTTTGTTGCTGTTAAATCGACTACTTCAGCACTAACTCATCATTAATTGGAACTTGCTTGGAGTACAAAAGATCATCCCCAAAGTTTGTGAGTAATTCACGGATCTCAAGTTTTGACTTGTTTAAATCCTGTCTTTTCAACATCTACTTCCTTTCAATGTACATGATGTCTCCAGTTAGCTACCTGCTAATTAATACTCGAGGTCAACTCTTGAGACTCTTTGAACCCATGCATGCTCTGCCCCACGATTCCATGGTTGACCAAGAAAGTTCTCTTGCTCTTCCCTTGACTTAAGAGATCTGTGGTTTAGTCGTCCCAAGAACGAACGTCACGCAAGTTGTTTCTGCATCTTCTTCAGACACTTGTTGGGTAGTAGTTCGGTGGGAGTGGTCGGAAGAGTGCTTGCATGCCTAACATTTATTGTCCCTTTAATGACAGGTTGAACGAATGCCTGACGCTGCTGCGCTACGTGTTTAGCTTCCCATGGCACGTAAGCTGTTTTGATCGAGCTATGATTCGGGACTGTGGACCTCCGGAGAAACTAACGTGACGGTGACGATATTGGCGTTCTTGTTTTGACCTGTTATGGAATCGACTGCGTCAGCGATCGAGTGGTCGTATGCGGAGACCGCGCGCCCGCCGCTGCCGCTGCCAGGAAATGCTCGGTAAGACTCTCATGTCGAAGAGACTGCGCGAAATAGGTTTTTATATACTTGACTAATTATTTTAACTTTAATATAAGTATAAAAAAATGGCCTGTTAATTTAATTGAAAATTTATTTATTTTCCTTCGCTTTTCGTCGGTCATTTGTCCTTAAAAATAAATTAAATCGATAAACTTTGTCTCACTTAAAGTAAATTAGAAAAAGATGTTTGCAAACGGAGACAAAAGAAAACTATAGAAGCCTATATCATATGATTTAAAATCTTAACAGGATCGTGATGTAATGTTTGATTCACTATAATTTCCTCTCCATGACATATATAATATTGAGATACAGCTTGATGTTATGTTGTCTTATTAATCCAATCAATCCTTTTATATATATATAAATTAGCATTAGAATGACTGACTTATTTCTGAATGCCTCTTTTAAGTCCATTTTAATTTTATTTCTTGGGGAGGAAAAGAAAATTAATTCTAATCGGTAATAAATCATAGAACGTAACCTTTCCTACACGTTTCGCTTACCCTTCCCGACGTCCCATCCCCACCGGGCCCCACACTCGAGCATGATTTTAGAGAAGTATTGACTCTCTCTCTCTCACCAACTGCCCCGTTTTGACTTCCGGTCACTCGGCGTCCTGTTACCCAGCGACAGTACCTGGCCCCACTGGATGTGTGCCGGGCCCCACCTCTGCAACCACACTCTAGTCCTTCTCCGAAGTGACAGCAGCCGGCCCCACCGACACGGACTCGAGGACTCCGATTCCCAAACCCGTCGTCTTCCGCTTGCGCCTCTCTCTCTCTCTCTCTCTGGTTTCCACACTCGCGCGTGCTTCCAAGGACGCGACCTTTTTGCCCTTTCTTCTTTTCTCTTTATCGGGGATCAGAATAGGAATAGGGCTTGCTTCCCGTGTCATGCCCCCCTCGCCTCCCGATTGGTAAAGCTTCTCGCTTGTTTCCTTCCGCCTCCGCCATGAACCGCCTTCTGACGGTGGTAGCGGAGGCCGCCGACTACTCCTTCGCCGTCGAGTACAATGGCCCCCCGCTCCCCTACGAGATCCCCCGCGCCGTTCCCATCGACGTCAACCGCATCCCTCTCGCCGCCGTCGCCCCGCCCTCCGCCGTCCTCTCCGACCTCCCCGTCGTCCACCCCCTCCCCTCCCCTTTCAAGAAGCCGCCGCCGCCGCTCCCTGCGCCGACGCTGATCCCGCCGCTCCCCGCCGCGTCCCCGACCTCCGTCATCGAGAACCACGACGACATGGACGGCCCTGACGCCGATGTTTCCGGCGCGCTGGGCTCCTCCGGCTTCCCCGACATCTCCACGGAGCTCTCGGAGGTCGTGGAGAGCTCCGGCGCAGTCGGGTTCTCCGACGATCTCGGTTACGACGCGACTTCCTCGAACGAGATGGTGCCGAACCGGCTCTCGACCGAGTCGGCCCTCAGCTCGGAGTTGAGCTTCCGGTCGTCCGCCTCCGGCGACGAGGACGAGGACGAGGCCGTCGCTACCCATGCGAAGAAGGCGCTGCTCGTGACCTTCCAAGAATCCGGCCAGTCCATGTCGCCGGCGATAGGACTCACTCCTCGTACGAGGTCGGAGGAACTGGAAATGCCGATAAAAAAGGGAGCTTGCTATAGGTGCCTGAAAGGAAGCCGTTTCACGGAGAAAGAGTCCTGCTTGGCCTGCGACGCAAGGTACTGCAGCGGATGCGTGTTGAGGGTCATGGGCTCCATGCCCGAAGGGAGGAAGTGCGTTTCTTGCATTGGTTATCCGATACTGGAGTCAAATAGGGAGAGACTGGGGAAGAGCTCCCGGGTCTTAAAGAGGTTACTGAGCTCTCGGGAAGTGCAGCTGGTGATGAAGGCCGAGAAGGACTGCGAGACAAACCAATTGAGACCGGAAGATATTTGTGTTAACGGGAAGAAGCTCACCCTGGAGGAGATGGTCCTGTTGAAAAGCTGTTCTTGTCCTCCTAAGCTGAAGCCTGGATTGTATTGGTACGACAAGGTCTCTGGTTACTGGGGAAAGGTGAGCTACTGCATTACGTTCTAGACGTCCTACTTTGGCATTTCTACAATAAAAGAACATAAACATGTGCTGAAAGAACATAAAGATGGTGCACTTAATTGTCTAGAAAACCAGGAATATCTTCTAGCGATTGTCTTCTGTTCCGGGGTCAATATATCAATGCAGTGCATTGATGTTCCAAAATAAAGAATAATGTCAACTGTTAAATGTTGCTCTCCTTTATGAGCAAAAATCATTGAATGGCTGGGTTCGTCAAACATGTGTTTTGTCTATCTCTTTTTTTTTTCTCTCTATTTTCTTTGTCATATGAATAATTTGGCTTTGATATTGATGCAATAATCAACAGGAAGGGCACAAGCCCGACAGAATCATTACTCCACACCTTAATGTTGGGGGTACTTTAATGCCAAATGCAAGCAATGGAAACACTGGAATCCTGATAAATGGTCGGGAAATTACTAAAATTGAGCTGCAGATGCTGAAGGTACATGGCTCAAAGCTTTAGTGCTTCTTTAGATATCTGATAGAGATTTAGAATTTAATGCAATCTACCTGCATTGCAGTGGGCAGGAGTCCATTGTGCTGGGAGTCCTCATTTTTGGCTGAATGCTGATGGGACATACCTGGAGGAAGGACAGAAGAATATAAAAGGACAGATTTGGGGAAAGGTGAGCCCTAATCATGCTCGTCTTGTAGTTTCTTCTGTAACATGTAGACCGCCAGTGATTGATATTCTGATGGTTTCTTGTTTGCAGCCTATTATGAAGCTGCTCTGCCCTGTTCTTGCATTGCCATTTCCTAGTAAGGTTGCAAATCCTTCTGGAGAAGAGGTAAATAAGTTGTTCAACAGAGCTGTTTCTGAGTGCTTTGATGTAAAAGCACTCCAGAAGATTTTGTTGGTTGGACACCATGGATCAGGGACGGGTACAATTTTCAAACAGGTACTTTTGATGAATGCGACACAGATTGCAATAACAGAAAGCATCACATACTTAGGCCAGTAATTGTTTTGTCCGATAGATGTAGATGAATGCTTCTATTTTCATGTTTAGAGCAGCCAACTATAGGAACCTTTTAGTCAAAGGTTTTGTCTAATCTTGTAAAAGTACATCAGAATGTTGAGAGCATGTCATTGATTTTTAGCATATTTTATGTCCTTGTGGTCCTGACTTTCTTTGTGGACCGTTGTGCTTATATGGAACTTGCCCAAAGTAATACATGACATGAAGTTTGAACACTGAACTAGGGTGATGCTTATTATTTGTCAGTTATGAGCCTACAATAAGAAATCAAAGCATGCAATTGATGCAAAAGTAGTCCCAATTTCTGATTTACTTGCCATAGTGTGCCCTATGCCAAATACTGGTTCACATGGCATACTACGTGATGTGTGTCACAGCACAGGGATTGTGCTGATTGGCATGGGTTTTGGCACAGATCCTGCAACGGGTGGATGTTCTTTGCACTGTGCTTGAAAGGCATCATCAGCATTCCATGTGCTGATACCAGCACAGTTCAGAACAGCCGAAGCAGGGCAAAAAAAAACTTAATTGTGATTTTAATAAAAAGAGGAGGTAGATTGTCAGATTGGGTAGTTATTTTGCCAGGTTTGACTGTATATCCTTAGATGGGGGGTGATTCCTGGAGATCTTGTAACCATTTTGCTCTCTGACGTTTGAGGAGCTTATATGAACAGAAAGGTTTTCTAATTAGAAGGTTGTACCCTTTTTGCGATCAATGAATTATATAGGCGAAAAACAGCTGAAACCAGTTGGGAACCGAAAGAATCTTGCCTAAGGTATATTACTTTTTGTAGATAGTTCATCAGGAACTCATTCTTGATTCGGTTTATTTCTGGGTTCTCCTCTTCCAACCAGTGTGGGAAGTGTGTCTAAATAACTAAATTTAATGAATAAAATTCATGACTCTTTAATTTTAGGAGTATATCAGTTATAACCAACTTAAAAAAAAATACTTTTGCTTTCCTCTAATGAAATTTAAGTTCAGTTGCTGTTTAGTATTACATAATTCATGAATAAAAGTACGATCTGCTTCTAGCTGATTATTGACATGGCCATTTACCGTTGTCTGGTCTACCATGATTTTTCTCTATTTAGGAACTGAAATTGCATCCACTGTTTTGAATTAAAGTTTATGGACTTCTTTCTTTGCCTAGTGTTCTAACTTTAACTAGTGGAAGGTTATGATGTTTGATAACTTGATGTGTTAACTGGGATCGTCAACTATTTAAGCTGATGACAGTGAAAAAGTCCATGCTTGCCTATAGTATACATTGTTGTCAACTTTATTTTTTAGCCAGCGGCATTACAATAACATTTGAAACAACTCTTAAACTATTTTTACACATTTCATTTTAGAAAATAATTTATATTTACTTCAAATGTGAGATGTGCATACAATTTTTTATATATCTTCGAGAATGACAGTTTGATAATCTTAGATACATTTTCCATACTTATCACTTATAGTTACCTAATATATTCGTTGGCTACTTTATTAGGCTAAGTACTTGTCACTTATATTTACCTAATATATTCATTGTCTACCTTTATTAGGCTAAATTCTTGTATAGAAGTGTTCCTTTCACGGAGGATGAGCGTCAAGACATTAAGCTCATGATACAAACAAGCATATACAACTACCTTCTCATATTGCTTGAGGGGCGTGAATGGTTTGAAGAGGAGAGTTTGAATGAGCAAAGAGAAAACCAGCAACTAGATTCTTCAGGTACCACAATCACGTTCTATTGATGCATCGTCATTGTGCTGGTTTCCCAATAAATTATCTACACTTCACCTTTCTAGGTTCAAGGAACTGCTGGGAACATTTTTCTGTCCTAATTAAGGACTATGATTATTTGTAAAAGTTTGCATCCACCTGATAACAATATTCTTGAATCACAGCCAACACATAGCTTCATTGTAATAGTAAGATTGCTCAAGTTTCTCTTAGTACATCTATTCATACCTCCTTGGTGGATATTCCAGTTATTGTTTCTGAATCTATCAAATCTGGAACTGTCTCTATTTTGATTATAACTTCAGTAAAAGTTGCTTATCTCTCTCTTAATATCTTACTAGTTACTACCATATAAGTATAATAAATAACTACCTACCTAGCATTAAGTTTTTGCATGGTGTAATGCGACAACAGCAATTGATGAACCTATTTTATTTTCTTATTTTTGTTACAATTATGGTGGCAACAATGTTGAGTCATGTACTGTGATGTTTATAAATAACATTGTCTGGAAAGATGTATTATTTAGTGTATCATAGTGTAAGTCCTGGACTTTATACATGTTATCTGTTCACTTCAGTGCTCTCAGGCAAATTACTTAGTGGTCCTTCTATTAGCAGTTTGATGTGATGAAGTCTACTTTTGAAGTCTAAAATTACTTGGAGAAGCAGGAAATTACATAATACCTAAATCGTCCAACTTAATTTGTTGAAAGCAGGAGATGACATATCAGACAAACAGAAAAAAGCCACTGAATTCTCTCTCAGTCCACAGCTGAAAGCATTTTCTGATTGTCTTCTTAAAGTTGTGGCTTCTGGCAAACTTGAAGATTTCTTCCCAAATGCGCCACTCGTAGAGGAGTTGTGGAATGATTCTGCTATTCAAGCGACATACAAGCGGTTAAATGAACTTCAGTCGCTCCCTAGCATAGCCAGTTACTTCTTAAAGCAGGTATCTTTTACTTTCTGTTCTTTTTCTTGTTATTCTGCAGCTTGATTCTTGTAATCTCAAGGTAAACACACCAGAACGTTTGAACATGATTTTTCAGTTCTACTACGATCAGATGAATGACTACAAAAATGGTTAATTAATTTGTTCTCCACATATGGGGCCATTTGTTGTAGGATATAATAGTAGAATAGGTACTCTAGGTAGCTCTAGGTGGCAGAAGTGTTGGATAGAATTTATTGGTAAGAAGAAATTGACCAGGGCAATATAAGGTATTGCTTTAGTGGTCATTTAATTTCTAACAGATCTTTATTGAGCTTCAGAAGTCCATTAGAATCTGGAAAGGGAATTGACAGCTGAAATGGTCTTGAAGTGGTGTAAGGTAGGATGCGTAGTCCGACCCAAGAATTGAAAGTTGCGCACTTACTCAATCCTACAACACAGACATCTAGATCTAGTATTGTTCTCAGAATAGAGAAGAATTACTAGATGCTAGAGACACTCAAGTAATCGACAAAAAAAAAAAAATCCTAAAAACAGGAAGAAACTTGCTCAGTATGTAAATTTTATCAGCAGTATATATTAAGACACCAAAGTTCTTTTTTCCTTCTTAATTCTGGTTGAATCTATAGCAGTAGGACTTTTAGGTAATGCTTCTCAAATTATGACCTCCTAATACATTGGCAAAAAATCTTCAAAGATATATATTTTTTTGTCTAAAAATCACAATACACTCAGATGTATATCAATTAAAATTGCCATTTTAATAATGGATGTACCGAAATGCATGGGAATGTCAATTTAATTCCATGGTCAAAACTTGTTACTAATGATTTTGTTGGAAATTCTTCAGGTTGTTGATATATCCAGAATCGAGTATGTGCCTTCTGATATTCATATTCTCTATGCTGATGGAATAACTTCCTCCGATGGTCTAGCATGTACGGAGTTCCATTTTCCACCGTTGGCTTGTGCTGGAAGTAGTATTGATGATGATGATCGACAGGAGACAATGTTTAGGTGGGTTAATATTACCTACCGTTATTGATTTGATAGTGCAAGATGTTGGAGAGATTCTAAATTTGTTGCTATAAATTACTTTTTTTCCATAAGCACTTCCAAACACATTACATTAAAGAAGGCAAATTAAAAAAAAATTCTGGATTTTCAGATGAATGAACATCCAGTCCATTTAGACTTTGTGATTTGGTGCTGCATATTATAATTCCTTGAGTTCAAGATTCTTTTACATTACTAGAAAGTAGAAACTCTATTTAGACCACAACATAGGCTGTCAAATGGCTTAGAGAGTTCGTGATTTTTATTTAATGATGCAATGTTTGATGACAGAATCTTTCTTTTCTCATCATCTAATACAAGCAATGCGTAAACTTTAACTTCTCATTTGCTGCAGGTATCAGCTCATCAGAGTCCACAGCAAAGGCCTTGGGGAGAATTGCAAATGGCTAGACATGTTTGACGATGTCCAGATCGTGGTTTTCTGTGTTGCTATAACTGACTATGACGAATACTATGAAGATTCGAATGGGGTAGTCATGAACAAGATGATGGAGAGCAGAAGGCTCTTCGAGTGCATCGCCAGTCATCCGACCTTCGAGCAGAAAGATTTTCTTCTGATCCTCAGTAAATTCGATCTGCTTGAGCAGAAGATAGACATGTCTCCTCTAACCTCGTGTGAATGGTTCGACGACTACAGTCCTGTAGTAAGTCGACATCCACAGAGCAAAACCAGCCGTGGTGTCCCCATTGGTGCCACCAAGGCCCAGCAAGCCTTTCAATACATTGCTGTGAAATTCAAGAGGTTATTCTTTTTGATGACGAGGAGGAAACTCTATGTGGTTCAGGCAAACGGTTTAGATTCAGATTCCGTCGACGCAGCACTTCGATACTCAAGGGAGATCATCAAGTGGGAAGAAGATAGGTTTGTGGGTGGCACCCTTGAATCAATGTATAGCACAGAGCCAAGCTCCTTCTCTCAGTGACATCTTCAGGAAGAAACAGCTGTAAATATATAGCCTTCTCTTTTTCTTTTTCTTTTTTCATTGTTGCCTTCATCTAAAATGTCATCCATGTTGTGTGTATCCATTATTTGTAATAGCTCAGTGCAAGAAATAGGTTCTTTGTGTATGTCCATTAGAAGATTCAACCACCTTGTTAGTGATCTGTACATTGGTGGGCGGCTATGCAAATAAGCTTCCTGATGAAGTGTTTCAGAGTAAATATTGTGTCTCTCATGAGTGTTTTGTTTTTGCTAAAAAGAAATTATTTGTACTACTTACTTAAAAAAAGCATTTGTTTGCTGCATCACTGCTTTCTTTGCTTTTGGTAATCATATCATAATTAGTAGTGATTAAATAGTGTTTATTATTGGATAAATGCGTACAGGAGGAGCCATTAATTGGAGGTATATATATATATATATATATATATATAGGGTAAAATATGCTATTGGTCTATGGCGAGCTCAAATGCTTGCTATGGTCAGCATCTTTTCCTTGTATTACAGCCCAGCCCGGCCCAGATTAACCCGGTTCAATTACGCCAAGCCGGCCCATGCCGGTCCATCATAGCGTACAAGCATAGCTGAACCTTAGTGGTAGACCCTTAAACCCTTCTCCCTATCTCTCGATGCTTCGCCTCCGAGCGCTGGCCACCACCGAACGCCTCCGCCTCGCGGCGGGCGGCCGCTTTGTCCACCGGAGGGCCACGAAGCCGAGAGCTCCTCCTCCGCCGCCGCCGCCGCCTACACCACCGAAGCCGCCGCAGAAGCCAACCCCCTTCACCTTCCACGGGATCACGTGGCACGACCCCTACAGCTGGATGTCCGACCTCAACGACCGCGTCGCCATGCGCCACATGGACGTGTACATGGAGCAGGAGGAGAAGTACACCGAGGCCGTCATGGTGGCGTCCGGCGCTGACCGCCTCCAGCGCAAGCTCCACATCGAGATGGCCCCGCGGCTGGCGTCCGACCCGTGCACGCCGCCTGTGCGGTGGGGCCCCTGGCTCTACTACCGGCGGGCGGAGGACGAAAAGCAGTATCCTGTGCTCTGCCGGAGGTCGGCGAGCCTTCACGATGAGTTCATCTCTTACAGCGAACCGTCGGCTGGGTTTGATTTCCAGACCGGAAAAAGGATCGAACAGAAGCTGATCGATTACAATCAAGAAGCCGAGCGGTTTGGTGGTAAAAATCTCCTCCTCCTTTTCTTTCACTTGCCGTCTTTTCTGTCATTAAATTGTTTTCCTTATATAGTCCTAGAAAAATTCTCTTTTGCATCCTTTATTGTAATAATCTTGAAAGGAAAACAAGTGACCAAACGCAACTTAATGTGGGCTTACTTTATTCGTAGGTTTGCGGGTATTTTTGGTAACTAGGAAAGGAAAGAAAGACAAAAAGAAATCTGCTTGGGATGTTTGTCAAGCCCTCAGTGCTTCTTGAAAATGTCGATAAGCAGTTTAGGAGCTCTTAGTGGCTTTAGATGATTAGTCACTTGCAAGTTCAGGATCTCTATATTTGACACTTTGGTTCAGCTCTAACACTTCCTCTAACCAAGAATTCTTTACAAATTCTTCCTTTTCATTTATCTTATTGGAATTTTGATTTCCATATATCTATGTTACATCAATATGTACCTTCTTTATGATTTTTGTAACTTAAATATGCAAATCTCTATTACGATGGCTTCCCCCTCATTTTCTTGGTTCTTTTGAACAATCTATGCTTACGTTTTTTTTTTTCAACAATCAAATAATCATTTAAAATTGTGTCTAGACACAAGATTGTAGGTCTGATGGTGCTTCGGTGCCTAGTGAATGCATTTAACTGCACTTGAGACACATCTCAAACCAAATAAATCTTTCAGACGGTGACACTTCATGAACTTAATGCAGAACCTTGATGTTCCCATGCAACTTATTATTGCCTCAAAAAAAACTTTAAAAGCTTGAGTAGACAAGTAGCTTTTTCAATTTTATGCACAAGCTAAATGGTTTCTTTTTCTTTTTGGATTGGCTATTCAAGTTGATGATTGACAGTGTAAAAGGTACAAAATCCTACATATAAATAACAGGGAACCTAGTAGCACGATTCTCAACTTATCATGGTAGCAATTCAATATAGTAGATGCTTACAGAATTCTTGGAATTGAAGCTCTGCGTTAGTCAATTGCTAAACCTTGGGGATCATTGACCCTATAGAAAGAAACAAAAAGGGACTCTGACCTTATTGGACAATCTGACTTTTATTGTGTTATCCCACTATTCATGAAGCCCATAGCTTTCCTTCAACATATTCCATATAAGTGGACAAACATCCATAGAGAACAATTTCGGGACAAATAATTTTCTATGCATATGTATTCAATTACCGACAACCATGATAAGGGTCGATCATTTGGTTCGGCTGGTAGTTGTATGCCACTGATGAATAACTGTTCAATAAAATGCTGAAGGACCCCATATACTATGTTAGAGAGTGCTCAAGATTGCGACAAGAGACTGATGGTTCTATCCAGCATTAAAATTTATTAATAGATGAAGCAATTCTCATATTATCTATAACAAGTGCTCATAAATCCTTTATGGGATCAGAATTAAAACTGCATGTGATTCACTAGGTGATTTCTTTGTGTGCACCTGCAGAATGGTTATAATACTATCATGGTGTCACCATCTTGTCCAGTGGTTCTGCACCAATAAAAAGATTTGATACGTTTTGTTTTTGAATAGTATAAGTATGTCATGCATAAATTAGTCACCTTTCTGTTCCTTTTATATATTCATGTCATTGCTTTTCTAAGATAGCTTGACCAATGCTATCAAATCAAGTCAGCTATTTGTTTCCAAATCTCTCATCATGTATAAAAAATACTTTTTTTCATTTGTTCTATCATGGATTTCCACCATACTTAGTGGCGTAACACTTCCGACAACAATGTATAGATTCACAGGATTTGGTTTAGATAATCTGGCATTTCTTACATTATTGGTTTTTTTGGCTACAATGTGAATTAGTTTTCTTGTTAGTTAGTGAACAAATATTCATAAAAGACCAAATACAAATGGTCTTTTATGTTGTTATGTTGCATATGATGTATGCTTGCAGATTTGCTTCCAAAGAAGTTTATATTTTTCAAATAAACTTATATTTTGTTATTGCCATTTAATATCAGGATACTCATATGAAGAGCTATCTGAGGTGTCCCCAGATCATCATTTTTTTGCTTATACTATGTATGACAAAGACAAAGACTCCTTCACTTTATCTGTAAAGGATTTAACCACTGGTTCACTTTGTGACAAACCCCAAGCAGATCGGGTTGCTAATCTGTCATGGGCCATGAATGGGAAGGCACTGCTCTACACCGTCACAAACAATGATAAACGGCCATATAGGTTAGTAAAGCAACTTCAGAAGGCTCTATTTATGCTTTCTTTTGCTTGTACTCTGATTTAGTGTTTCTTTTTCTTTAGGATCTTTTGTAGCATTCTTGGATCTAATAAAGATGATGTTCTGATTTTGGAAGAACACAATGAGAATGTCTATATAAACATTAGAAATACCAAGGATTTTCAGTTTGTAACTGTAAATGTCTTTTCGAATTTTTCTTCAAAGGTATTTTCTGAATTGAACCCACCGAAGTTTATATTTAAATCTCACAATATTATGATCCAATTTAGCTTTTTGTTTTTCTTTTGTAGGTGTACTTGATAAATGCAGCTGATCCCTTGTCAGGCATGACATTAGTCTGGGAATGTGAACCTCATGCTCACTGCATAGTAGAACACCATCAAGGTTACTTATATTTATTTACAGATGCTGCTAGAGGAGGTGAACCTGTTGATTCACATTATCTGCTCCGTCGTGTTGCTAAAGATTATGATTCCGGAAATTGGGAGGTCTGGAATCTGCTTGTGTTCATTTAGACCTCAGATGCTAGTCTTAAGGCTTCATGTAGATTTCTTTGATAACATAAGTAAACAATGATTCTCATCATGCATATCATAAATTTTGTTTCTCAAGCGGCAATGTTGATCTGTGGTGTAAGGTTTGAGAAAGTAAGGTGCAGAGATGAGCATTCAATATTCTTTGTGACTGAGGCTTTGATGTTGGTATCTGGCTACAAGTCACCTAAGGTTGTTAACTATTCAATACAAAGTTAAATGTGGGATTCGAAAAGGAAAGGCTCTAATATTGGAAGTATCACAAATATCGGGGAGGATGAAAATGCAGTATAGAAATAATTTTTAAAGCACAGGAACCTAAAGAAATGTTTTTCCAATGTGTTCGTACTTCATACAACATATCTTCTTTCATGATTCTGACCTGGTTTTAGATAGTGATCCTATTGAGAAGACATCATAGCATTTTATGTATGTTATATCAGCTTGTTTTAGGTCTCTTGTGAAGTTACCTTATGGTCAATTTAGGTCAGCTTTTTGGATTGATGGGTTGATTAAATCAGATTTGGCAGGCGTCTAGAAAAGCTCTTGATTTCCTTTCATCAGCTCTTGTGGTTGGCTTGTCATGCTTGCTCCTTTATCTTTTGGCTTGTAGCCTTTTTCTTGTTCACCATTAATTCTTGAAGTGTTTCATGAAATTTTGTTATTGATATTTTTTTATTTATTTCCCAAATAGTTGGAACTTACGGCTTTGTTGTTGTTTGTTATTGTATATTTATTTCCTTATTTCCATGTCACTTTCTCATACCTGTCTTTGTAATTTAACTAATATTACTTGTAACTGCACAGTGTGTTCTTCTTGAGGAGCCTGGTGTTACCATAGAAGATGTTGATTTTTGTGAAACTCACATGGTGCTTATTCTTAAAGAAGGCAAATCATTCAGAATATGTTCAGTTGCTCTACCTCTATCTATGGGTGGAAATGTAAGTTATGATTTCGCTGATCTATTTTAGCTCTTATCTGTCTTACAAATCATTAAAAATTGTTCAGTTGCTCTATCTCTTTGGATGGAAAAGTTACATTTCTGCTGATCAGCTTAGCTATAAATTTGTCTTGCATTACTTCACATCAGGGATCTTTGCAATCTTTAGTTTCCCCTTTGTCACAATTCCCTAACTTTATTCAGTTTACTTGTATCCTCACAATCTTTTGATTCTTCCTTATCATAAACCTTGTGTTTAGTTATGTGTGTAATTCTTTAACCTTCTTTCTAATGCATAATTCTCTTGAATTTTATAATTTTCTCAATTTTTATAACATGCCTTTTATATAGGTGTTTCCTTTTCAAAATTTCATCTAAGTGCTACTCACACTTCCTGATGCAGTACTCTTAATTTGAACTTTTAAAATTCTCTTTGCCATATTGTTTTCCCCAGATATCCAACTTTTTCCTTTTCATCCTTTTTTTGGATTGTATTATCACATTGTTTCCATTAAGTGTGGGACCAGGAACCTTGAACAAATTTATATATACTTGCGAGGATAACTTTTGCTGTCAAGCTTTTTAATCTCATTCCATTAACTGCATATCTGCTGCAAGGATTCAGATTCTGTTTACGTTCACCTAGCTCTCTTGATGACAGGTACCTGTGCATCTTTCAGCCCTTCAGCCATGCTTTTTGCCTCTTCCAGAGCATGTCTGTCAGATTGCACCTGGACCAAATTATGACTATCATTCATCAATTATGCGATTCACAATATCCTCACCTGTGGTAATCAGATTATCTTTTCTGTTAATCAGTTTAGTCTGGTATCTTTTCTCTTAATGTCAATGGATACTGGTATGATATTATCAATGATATCACTGATCAAAATTGTTACAACATTACAGTTTCTATAAGGATGTTTCCAATTATGTTATTTTTATACTTGTTTAAGTTCAAGCGTATGCCAACATGCGAGTAATTTACCTTCTTTATCTCAGTCATTGGTTGTTATCTTTTTGTCATGTAAACATGTGATCTTGATGTACCTTAAGAGATTTCTTGATGAGAGAATCTTATGGCACTTAAATTAGAACAGTGGATAGTTTAAAATATTGCATTCCTTCATGTTATTGGTGCATTATTCTTGATGTTAGATGCCGTTTGAGTTCATATTCTTGTGCACCAAAATCATGTGTTTGAACTGAGTATTATCTGTTTCTTTGCATCAAAAAGCACCATTGATACACCGGATCAGAACTTTATTGACTGTAAATGTTTACTCTTTGCCTTGAAGAATGCCATTGTTTCTATGCGTTAATATTGCTCGACTTTTCCTCTTTTAAGCTTTAGAAATCTTGGACCATATTATACACCACCAAACAAGGAGTCATTTGACATTGCTTTATCATTCTGTTCACTAACTTAAGAGTAATCTTTGAGCCTCAATGATATGGTTTGGTTGACTTTTTCCACTCTCATCTACAGAGTCCATGCTGCATGATTGACAGATTAATGTAGTTATAGTTCTTGGTGTTCTGAAACTTCCTAGCAGTTAGATGATTGCTGATCTTACAGTGTCTCTTTTCTATTTAAGTCGCGGATTTTAAATTTGAAAATTCATAGTTTATATATTCATAGTTTATAGGTTGTGGTATTTCTTCCAATTTTCTGCAGATGCCTGATGCAGTTGTTGACTATAACTTATTAAATGGGAAGTGGCACATTGTACAACAACTTAATATGTTGCAAGAGCGCACAAAAACTTTATATGGAACTGCAGCAGCTGCTAGCAGTCTAAAACGGTCATCACTGCCAAATAACTTAGGCACCAACTGTCAACACCATGATGCAGATGGTACATGGCATGAGCTCTCTGAGTTTTATGCTTGTGAGTACTATGATGTTCCTTCAAACAATGAAGTTGTTGTCCCATTGACTATTGTATACTCCCGAAAGCACAAGCAAGAGGGCAGTCCAGGGCTACTTCATGGGCATGGTGCTTATGGTGAGCTTTTAGACAAGCGCTGGAGAAGTGAGTTGAAAAGCCTTCTAGACCGTGGCTGGGTGATTGCTTATGCTGATGTCAGGTTTGGATTTATACTTTTTTTACAATAAATTTTAGTTTAAATCCATATATTTTTCATCATAGTAGTCACTTTGTCTGCTTTAGTATTTCTTTTCCATATGCAAAAAATAGGAGGATTTAGTATTTGGTAATGTTTATAAATCATACAAGAAGTTAAGAATATCTTCTATTTCTGATATTCAAAATTTGAAATATATGGTTTCAGTATTAATCATGTTGGCCATCTTGCTGCCTAGATAACTTAATGTTCAATTTTGCTAACAGAGGAGGTAGCGGTGGTGGTAAAAAGTGGCACCATGATGGCAGGCGTACCAAAAAACAAAATTCAATTATTGACTATATCTCATGTGCTGAATTTCTAGTTGGGGAAGGTATTGTGCAAAAGAATAAGCTTGCCGGTTGGGGATATAGTGCTGGGGGGCTTTTGGTTGCTTCAGCTATTAACATTCGTCCAGATTTATTTCGGGCTGCGGTTTTAAAGGTGCGTGTAATGGGAGATCCAATACATGACATAACATGTTTGCTTGACTTATTTGCTCCTTGTATTGCTGATGATGAGCAATTTTACCCAGCTTGTGAACTTTGCATCTGGGGCACAAAGATTACCCTGACCCTTAAAAGTGGTTCTGGCCCTTGAGGGAAGGAGTACAACTATAAAATTACTTCTGCTAAAAGGAAAGTACAATGGAACTTTTTCATCATCTTAAGGAAGTTCAACATGTTGGTTTAATCTTAACTACCATAGTGCTTGGGTAAAAGTTAGTAATGACATTTAATAACTAGTTTTTGGTTTTAGAGCACATACTGTTCTTTTATATCTTTTTATTTACATTTTTCTATTTGTTACTTATGATTTTTCTCTACTTTGTTTATAAGTGAGGCATATAAACAAAGTGGAGAGTCTTGTTTGATCGATGGAGAGGTCGATGAAGATATTACTCATAGAATAAAAACAAGATGGTTAAAATGGCGAGGGGCGTCAAATGTCTTATGTGATCATCGAATACCTTTGAGATTAAAATAAAATTTTATAAGACAGTTCTGAGATCAATAATATTTTATGGATTTGAGTATTGGACAGTTAAGAAAAAACTTATACAAAAAATTTGTGTTGCCGAGATGAGAATGTTGAGATGAATGTGTGGAAAATAATTTTTTTTATTCATGAACAATTAGGTATCGTTTCGATAAAGGATAAAATGAGAAAAAATCATTTAAAATAGTATAGACTGAAATTATAAATAAAGATCTAATTTCTCTAAACTTAACTGAACATAGGATTCTTTACAAATCTGAATGGCAGCAAAAGATCCATATAGTTGACCTCAAATAGTTGGGACTTACGGTTTTATTGTTATTGTTGTTGTTTATAAGTGAGGCATATGATGATATCTCTTCATGTATCTGCTATTGTTTGGACTAGTTTGTTTCGTAAGCAAATCTTGTTTACAAGCATGTCGTAGTTTTGCATGTCACTATTTTGCCTAATTTAGACCATTCTATTACCTGCTATGCAAACAAAAGCAACTTAAAATACTCTTGCTACCTACTTGTCCTATGGTATAGTGAGGGTGTCCACTGATTTGGGTAATAGGATGCTTAAATTGATGCATGTCAACTGTTGGCATGGTTTAACAAAAGACTCTGTATGTACTGGGTGCAGACAGTCACTAGCACAATGCAACATTATTTCTTGCACAGTAAGCTCCTGTTAGTATCTCATATTTTGTAATAATGTTTCTCTGTTTATTTTTTGTTTATTTTTTGTTTATTTTATCTTATAGTTATGTATTCTTTTACTTATTATAGCTACACTAACTGAACCTGGTTGCTTATTGATTGTCAGGTTCCCTTTCTAGATGTCTGTAGCACTCTTCTGTACCCTATCTTACCTCTCACACCTGTTGACTACGAAGAGTTTGGCTACCCTGTTGAGCTTGAAGATTTTCTTGCCATCAGGAAGTATTCCCCTTATGATAATATTCAGAAGGGTGTTCCTTATCCAGCAGTGTTGATAACATCATGTTTTAATACAAGGTACTTCTCTTATAAAATTCATATCAACAAGTCATCATGTCCCAACTATTGGGTCGGCAAGCTACTATTATAACAATAATAACATCAACAAAACCGTAAGTTCCAATTATTTGGGATCAGCTACATAGATCTTTTGCCATCATTGAGATTTGTAAAAAGTCATATGTTTAGTGAATACATAATTCATTCTGTAAAAAGCTTAGCAAGTTATTATTAAGCTACTAAAAAATTAGTGAATACAGAATTCATTCTCATCTTTGCTCCTTTTGTTACTGAGCATGGTTTTTCAGATATGTAATGTTATGTACTTTACAAAGAACCCTTTCAATTGAAGTAATATGTTTGCTAAATTTGATTTCCTGTTGTGGTTTTCCTGTGGACTATCGTGCAACATAGAAGGTCTACTCCATGATTTTCTTTTCCAATAGAACCTATCTTTAAGTTTTTTGCATATTTGGTTATATTGCATTGAAGCATTCAATTGGCAGTTTCTTTTCTCCTGGCATTAGCAAGCTCTCGCCAGCGGATGGATAATTTGATGAGCTCTAGCAGTTCTTTGTTCCTAATATGCAATTTGTTGGTTCCGGTGTGCTTACATAAGGAGATTTTCTATAAAATTTGTGACACTTGCTACATGATGTATGAGGTGCACTCAAAATAATAATTTGTTATTTTATGATGTTTACAGAGAAACAAGATATTTGAACTGAAAGCAACTTTTTTAGTCAGTATTTGTCCGGAGACTCAAAAGCTCTAATATTCATATCATTATGATGCACAACTATATATAATGGTGCAGCATCTGTTGTGATTCTCTCTCTCTCTCTCTCTCTCTCTCATATACACAAAAGTGTGTGTGTGTGGCGGCGGCAAGGTTTTGTGATTAATAGAATTTGCTGCTAATCTTTCCTGCATGACCGCTTATATTTTTTCAAGCAGTTCCCCACATGCAAGACACAGAACTACATTCGTCTGGTAATAAGTTTGGAACATGGAATATGTTAATTGTTGATATTTTCACTATTCTACTTAATATTGTTGACGTTGAAAAGTGCAAATTAAAATGATAATCAATTAATCATCAATCATTGTATGGTCTTATCTACATCACATTTGTTCTGAATATAATTCTTTTACTGTCTAATTAAAATTTTCTTACGGTTAAAAGGAAATATATGTTAAAAGTGCATAAAATTTAATTTCTTCGGCTAAGGATCTGCCTCATTAAGTTGCCTATGGTTTAGGCGCATCAATTTTTTTGTCATTATAACATATCAGGCTTAATTATTCAATTGTATGTTTGGCTTAATTTTAGAGGCCAAAAAAACTGTTTCCTGTAACACCTTTTTACAAATGAGTACACAAATGTCTAAACTTGTTTCAATGTGGTAGGTTTGGTGTGTGGGAAGCTGCAAAATGGGTTGCAAAAGTCCGAGAGCAGACCATCTATGATCCCCAGCGGCCAATACTGCTTAATCTAACAGCTGATATAATAGATGGGAGCAAGTATTTAGAGTCGAAGGAATTGGCTCTGGAAGCTGCTTTTCTCATAAAAATGGTATCCAACTCCTAGTTCTGAGCTACCTGCTTCTATTGTAATCAGATGATGCCACCAAAGCTTACATGGTTTACTTCTTGGGAGGGTCTTCTTGATGCTTCATCAGGCATCAGACGAGTTAATTAACAACTTGACTTTTGCTGTTTAGTCTTATGGAGGGAAAAGCTGATGTTCAATGGATCAGTCATGTGGTTTACTTCTTGGGAGGATCTCCTTGATGCTTCATCAGGCATCAGATGATTTAATTAACAACTTGACTTTGCTGTTTAGTCTCATGGAGGGAAAAGCTGATGTTCTATGGATCCGTCATGTGGTTTACATCTTGGGAGGGTCTCCTTGATGCTTCATCACCATCAGAGGAGTTAATTAACAACTTGACTTTGCTGTTTAGTTTTACAGAGGGAAAAGCTGAGGTTCTATGGATTCGTCGTGACTTGTGTAGAGTCACGATGAATCTCTTTACAGGACACAAGTCACGACGAATCTCTTTACAGGAAAATTCAATGATAAATTAGGATGGTTTCTGCAATCAGAGGTTATTGAGATAGATGCCTTCAGAATCCTGTGCTACTTTGTATGAATAGAGAGCAAAAACTGTGGTTTCGATATCATATATAGTTCAGGAATCATGATTATTTGTTGTAAGAAGAATCTTTATTTTTGGAACTGTCAAATTTCTTTCTCTACTGCAAGATATTTGTATTTATTGGTTATCTGCATCTCTCCAGATCTTAAGCTCTCTGATCTAATTGTTTGTTATAATTTTACTGCCTGCTTTCACTGTTAGCAGTCACCACCAAAAGAACCCAAAGTGTTGTGTCCTTTTGTGGATGAGGTATTGTTTCATCATGTCTAACACCAGCAGTTGCTCCAACTTTCTCTGACATGGCACACACCAATCTCTGTGGAAACCTTTTCCTGTGGATCTTTGTTGGATGTATGCATGAGAATGGAAGACAATGACATTTTTGTTGTTGACAAAACTGGAGTTCCACTTTTATCCATCAGATTGTTTCTTGTATCCCCAAATCCACAATGGAGATAATGTTGCAGTGACAAAAATATGTAGGCTAAGAATCCATAATGGAGATAATTTTTCTCATTGGGTCAACCCAAAAAAGTGATATATTTAGCTCATTCATGGCAAATTTGGGGAACATACAAAAAACACCAAGGACTAATCTCATTAACAGGATACTTACCTGGAAAAAGAATATAGTAGTAATTAGCAAATCATTCAATCAGGACTAATCCTGATTCCAGCCAATCTATTGATTTCTGACAGTTACTAAATTGACCATGTTTCAGCAGAAATACCATATAGACAGAGATCAAGGTTTACTGTATAGCAGAAATTACACTATTAAAAGAGAATACTACACATCAAAAGCTCTTCCAAAGCATCCCACAAAGCAACAGTTACAGATATAAAACAAACACACACATAAAGAGTGAGAGCAGTGTTCCATCTTCCAATCAGAATGATGAGAATCTATATTCTGCCTTGTGATTCTATATATTTGACACAGAAATCCATTCATGACTTTGTGATTCTACATATTGCTTAAGCAAACTGTGGAAAAAGAAAGGGTAGCCCGGACAGCACACGAGCTCCCACCCAAGGGCCGTGCCGTTTGGTGAAGGGTGATACCCGCGATCTCACATATACAAAGTGGTGAGGCTGTTTCCATTGATCGAACCCTAGTTATTCGTGATGCAAAGGAGCAACCTCATTGTGATGCCATGGTTTGCCCCCTCAAACTCTACATCAAACAAAATGATGGATACCTCGAAAAGACAAGAATGAATATAGGTTGGCCTGAAGCACCACAAATTATCATTCTCCCAAACAGGGAAACTATTGAGAACACATAAGAGATACATAAATGGATTGCATTTTCCCCTTGTATTTTTAATTATCTGCATCTCCTGATCACGATGTTCATGACTGTTTCTGTTGGTTTGAGCAGCGTAGGAGGTTGCTGGTCGCACTGGAATCTTGTAAAAATCTGCAAAAAAACATATTTCACTGGCTATGTTTCTGAAGTCTCCGCAATGGTGGATAATCTATCGGTCTCAGCAAATGATGGATCCAGAAACTTGGCCACAAATGCCCACATCCTGTAAACATCCTCAAAGTTTGTGAGGTACCCAAGCGAAGCAGTAACGACCTCCACTCTGATCACAACATTCTTACTGTTATTCTTATTATCGTGGCGACTATTTGCAGGACGATACAAGGAAGCATCAGTTGAAGCTTCTCCATGTAAATGTTTCTGATTGTCCATGACCCTTATATGACTAAGATAGCCAATGCCCAAGGAAAGACCATTTTTCTCGGCCAGCTTTTGAACAATCTCTGGTTTGATCACCGCCCCACTATCATCCTTCACATTGAATGCCACAGCTGCACCCCTTTCGTATTTGATCTTTGGGCCATAGATCTGGACGAGAAGCAAACCGTTGTCCCCAACTGAATCTCGTAATCGCAACTGCAGCAACGATGTAACGAGCCAGTTGATCAGATACCGTAGTCTTAGAGTTGTTTTGTTGAGACCCATCATGTTCACATGATCAAGGTGTCTGCAAATTATTTCAGGCTCCAATCTTGCCCACTCTTGAGCATCATCATCATCACCATCACAAATGGCATCATTGTCATCACCATCACAAATGGCATCATCATCATCGCCCTCATCATACTCTGGTGCATCACCGGATGCTTCACCTGCATCGGAATTACGATAAGAAAATCCTGTAGTACTGTTATCCTCCATGCTGAAGGATACCCTCCGATCCATGCTCGACGCCCGTTCATTCTCTTGCACACTTAAGAATTTACTGCCTGCAAACCTGTTGTTATTTCCCTCCCTCCTTCCTAACAGCCGAAACTCACCTTCTGTTTCCCTTCTTATGGCACTCTCTTTCACCTCGATATGGCTTTCAGGGTATATTTCAGAAGTTGAGCCATTCTCATGACCAGCGTGCCATCCGAAAACAGAACTTGAGCTAGCAATCCTCCCATCGGCAGAAGAAAACTTAACAGCACGTTTTCCCGTTGCTTCTTTTACCTTGGGTTCTTCCTCAATCTCACCCACGCGCTGGAAGCGTGCATTCTTTGGCCCATTTTGTGAAGGTCCTTCTCCTGGGTCTTCCCTCGCATGGTCTAGTTCTTGTGAAACTGATAAGACAGCTGCATCAAAGGATAGCACATGATCATCACATATGGGGCTCTTCGACATACTAGAAACAAGTTTTGGTGACACCATTTTATGATTCTTCCTTCCGGTAAACCATGAAGGTGGAGTTGGAGACCCCAACTTCCCCTTGTTCGACTGCCCTGAATGGTCTGATCCCAATGGACTCTGACCTAAATCAATCCAGAAGGAGCTGTCGGATGATTCGTCATCACTAAAAACTGGGCTCTTTATGACCTCTCCAACTGAAATGCTCTCGGTCTCCTCAAAGATTGTACTCACCCCATCACGGTCGGAGCTGTTGTCCTGATCAATCTCACTCTCAAACACATCTCTCACTTGAGCTGAAGTGAATGCACCTGAAAAAGCAGGCAACTGCGATCCTCTGTGAGTGTCGGGCATGAAAGATTCATCATTCCCGTCGATAGTTTCATCTTCGATTCCATCCGGTACATCCAGATGATCCACTGAGTCACTCAAATATTGAGGAAACACAGGAACAATCCTCACCATTCCTGATCCGGTACCACCATTCTGCTTCTGCAAGCTTCCTATCACAGATTTCTTGATCAGGAGACATCCAAAACCAGTTGGATCAAACCCAAACACGCGGTAGAACGACGTGATAATGAAATCTGGCCTGAAGAGCGACAGTCCGAGAGAATCCATGTCCTTGGGGCCCAAAGATCCAGCATCAAGCAACACATGCCAATTATTCTGCTGAGCCAAAGCCATCCACTGGTACGAGTACTTTGCTCCAGTCACTCTAGACTGGACTGGGAACACAAAGAGCCCAGCAGCCGAGTCCTTCTTCCTCCTCCTCTTGCCAGAGATCTGCTTCCTCAACTCAGTGGAACAGAGCTTGAGCGTCGGCCACTTGAACCATGCGCTGTACACCTTGGCTCCCTTCTCCCTCGCACTCTGAGCCATCCAATTCACAGACTGGCTTTCGTGATCGAACATCGTCAGCAACTTCTTGTTCGTATGAAATGGGTAAGTCTCTGCGAGCAATTTAAAAGCAGAACCTCTGCTGAAAGTGAAAACCAAACCATACTCGTTCTCGGGAATGTTGAGGTAGTCCATTATCCGAGTCTTGATGTCGTGCTCGGCGGTGCCTTTCTCAGCGCCGCCGTACAAAGAATGGTTGGTCAAGTTAGCAGTGATCTCGGAGAGGCTAACAGCCGAAGACTCCCAGCTCTGGAAGCTCTGAAGGTAGGAGAACAAGCCAAAGCCGCAGTAGTCGAGGCATACCTTGGCGCCGGTGTCCGAAAGGTGGCAATACTCGTCCAATCTCAGCCTGTCGATCTTGTTCGAAGAAACGTACTTGGGATACATGGTGACGAACTTGGACAAAGCCTCATCGAGGGCGGGAATGGAATCAGCAGTGAGGAACGTGCGCTCCGCGGCGAGGGCGGTGGCCTGGAGGAACTCCCGCTGGGCACGGAGGCGGGCGAGCGATCTCGACCGGCTGATGGAGCCGTCGTCGGGGTTGCCGAAGGTCTCGGGGTCCATGTCCTGGGACTTGAATAGGGAGCCGTCCTCGGAGGCCTCCTCCAGGGCCTCACGGAGTTTGTTCTCCTGCAGCTGCCGGAGCATTGAGGGTCGCCGCCTGGCCTCCTCCTCCGACAGGCCCTTGCCGGCGCCGCCATCTTGCCACCGGTTCTTCCTGTCGAGGATCAGGGCGGCGCAGTGTGAGATGGGCTTCCATAGAGAGAGATGCATGAGTGCTGCTCACCGAAGCCCTCCCAGCCAAGAACCCTAGAAGGCCATCAGTTCATCAGAATCAGATCAAAAACCGCTCTTCAAAAGAGCACAAAAAGGGTAAAGATCTGAGCTTTCTTTCAGAAACACTAGCTCCAAGGTGATCAAGATGAGATTTGAGGGGCAAAAGAGCGAACCAAAAAAAGAAACCTAAATTGAGATTCGGCAAACTTTTGCTTTTGCGAATGGTAAGGAGGAGATTAAAAAGAGCAACATTCAAACTCAAAATCTCCGAGATTCCATTGAAATCGCCCAAAGGTGCCAACTTTGTGAAGACTCCAACCTCATTTGTCAAAGAGAAGACCACACTCAGATAAAAGGAGAAGAGCAGAGGGGGGGAAAAAGGAAGGGAATCAAGAGCTGCAAAATAGAGGGAGAGAAAGAATATGATTCCTCAGCACAACCCCCTTTTCCTTTTCCTCCACCAGATCAGAGGAGGTCAAAGAGCCGAACTCCGCCAGGACAAGGTCCAGGAAGAAGGAAGCAATGGAGATCCAGCAAAGCCTCAACAACTCGATCAAAGAGCAGATCTTTCCCTTCTTAAACACTGCCACGGTTCCGCAAACCACCATCGAGGATGATCTCTGCTTCACTCTCCACTCCCCACTCCTCTGTGCTTGCCACTCCTCCCTTCCCTCTCTTTCTATATTCTCTTTCTTTCCTTGCTTATCTCCACCAACTCCCTCCCTGCAAAATATTAAAAGCAGGCCATCAGCTCCATTACTCCAATGGCCAATCCATCCAAACATGCCAGTGATTATGTGCTCCCGCTACCCTTCCCTGCCCACTATAGCAACCACCACCACAACACGAAACTCCTTGCTGCCCCCACTTTCTCCTCCGCCTCGACTATCATCAGTAAAAGGAAACAGTAAACCAAATAAACAAACAGAAACAGACAATCGAGTTCATCGTTCGATCGACTTTATACTGTTCTTACACCAGTGGGATGCTCATTGACTTGTTATCGAGCATCCACTAAACGACATGTAGTCGGACCTCAGGGGGGGTGTGCCGCATGAGGTGGTGGACGTCTTGCCAAATAATTGTCGTGGTTTCGGCTAGAAGTCAACCACTCACCATCCATGAATGAATCCAAGAACACTTGCCAAAGTCCCAGAGGACACATTAGGTGATTGCAGGTCTTGCTTGCTTGGGTTTGACCTTTAGTTGTAGCTAAGCACAGTCTCTTTGCGACAAACAGTGGTTCATTGTGGCCATGAGATATGACGAGCAGAGGCCATATGAAATTATTGTTCCCAAATCTTAGCTTTGGGCATTGGCAACAAACCATCTAAAAGTCCACAAAGCAAAGTCAAGCATGCTTTGTGCTGTCAGGGTGACAAGGTGACACTCCCATTGAAATTTGTTGCCATGAGATCATCTATTCTAATCGATCACCAGCTCGAATTGGACCACCACCCTCTAAACTATCATTCACTCATCATCATTCCTGAAACCACAACAATGTTATATTCATGATTTGGGTTGGATCCGTGGATAATGTCATTTGATATCTTGCTGTGTGTTTAATACAAACGGGAGTATTAACTAGGAAAAAGAATGTTGTGTAAGTTGACCATAAGCCATCCATCCCATCACCGCATGCAAGTCAGCCTGTGGGGCTCTGAAGACAAAGACACTGAGATCGGAATAGATTTTTGGCTTGCGTGCTGCTGCTCCATCTTACTAATCCTTGTAAGCTTCTTCTTCATCAAAGGAAAAAAGAAAGTCCAAGCAGGAGAGAGGCAACTTGGAACTTTATTGTAGGGTTGCAGACGAACCGGCATCGACTCCATTAGCACAAAACTTGCACCTGAATCGGTCACTTCATGTTGAGGGTGGCTAGCTTGGCTCACACAAGCAGCGACCATGATCTTAGCAACGAGACGAGGCTTGACATAGCTGTCTATCTTCCTCTGTTCCATGTATGTTGGAGCTCCCACAGAACCCCAACTACTTTGCTGATGCTTATGCTCAGGAATTCGCGTGTTACTGCATGTATTAGCCATCTGATATCAATCAGCAGCAGCTTCTTTGTTCATCGATGCCCGCAGTCTGTCTGTCAAAACGAAAATACATGGGAGAGCTTCCCGGCTTGTCTTGTTACAGGTCACAACCCCACCCACCCACCACCACGAAACGAGAGCATGTACGAAGAACAGGAGGATTCACGCAGGAGGAATTCCTCGTGCGGCTATTAATCTACTTCCCCATTCTCCTCGTGGTTTGTTCTTTTGTGTTTGTTGATAGCCGATGCATGCCTCGTTTCGGAACCAAAAGGTGGCGTGAACGCATGGTTTGAAGCGTCGAAGAAAGAAGAAGCGAAGTTTGTCGCACTGTTCTCTCGGTTCTTCCCCGGTGCACTCTTTCTTCTAGGGTTCCCCGCCGGTTGTCTTTCTTCGGAGACCATAACAGGCGGTGGAGATGGAAAGAAACCCGACCCACATCCATTGATATGTTTAGTGGTGATGTGGGTAATAATTGCGATAAGACTCGGGTGATGTCAAATGTCTTAAATGATGTCTCACAACACCTGATCAATGCGGATCGGAACGTCGGCCGAGGCATATTAACACCCTGCTCAGGCTTGATCCCTCACGCCACGCCAATGTCAATGTCAGACGCTACCTAAAGTACGATCCTACTCCCTGCGGGCAGACACATCAAACAACGGTAATCCTCACTATAAAATCTCTCGCGCTACTAGGGAGGAGGAGAACGGAGAAAATCCAATGTCAATGCCAATGTCGACGTCAGACGCTACCAAAAGTACGATCTTGCTCCCTGTGGGCAGGTACATCAAACAACGATAATTCTCACTATAAAAACCCTCACACTCCGAGGGAGGAGGAGAACGGAGAACGGAGAAAAACCTCATGCGACTATTCGCTAACTTGATCGTCGGAGGGGTCGGGTCGAGCTCTCCCGACCCGACCTTTGTGCAGGTGCGAAAACGAAGGCCTCTCGCTAAACGCTTAGGTGAGGAGTTTCCTCCCGGAGGAAACAGCGGCCCCGTCCCAATCGGACCATCACAGTCGGCCACCTCAGCGGTCTCAAGGGTCGCCCCGGAAAGATCCCCCATCATCCAGACCCAAACCAAACCGCGTCGATCATGAGGCCACGACTTAAAGTTGTTTACACTACCAAGTGGAGGGTGCCAAGGCAAGAAATAACGATTGGCCCAAAGCTACTACATTTGATGTGCTTACTCTTACGTCGTCTTCATCCACACAACACAGCAGACAAGTTGTCCGATAAAATATCTTCTTTCTGCATAGGATATTTTCTATCGAGCCATCCAATTGCGTGCGTAAAATCCAAAATGATACACCTACTATCTTATCTTACGGACTGCCACGTCATCCGGTGATACGTCCACCATTCTGGCATATGTAACTCCGTGAACTCGGGGGAGATGTGGATTAAGAAAAGGTTCGCAGACGGTGACCGTATCCCGCTGCATCGCTCCCCTGTTTAGCTCGTCTCCGACGGCTCAGATTACTCCCCCTCCGTTTGACCTGATCAGAAAAATAGAAATCAAAATACCACGCCCAATTTTTCCTACCCCGACCCCACCTTATTGCCACGTCACGTAATACCTTGCCTCATCTTTCGTGGGTCCCTTTGTCGGTTTCTGTTTTGGACGTATGTGTAGTAAATATCTTTTAAGATATTAATGCTATTAATAAAAGTGTGCCTTATCCTTCCTTTTGCTTGCATAAAGCTCTGCCTCGCCGAGACGAAGAGGAGGAATTGGAAGACTAAGATGCTCGGATCGGTTGCTCTCCGATCTCCGCCGCTCCATTCGTGTCCGGCCTTCGCGCTGGAGATCGCCGGGCCCGACCTCTCGTCTCGGTCGTCGAGGCCGGCCCCTAGATCGACCGTCCTCTGCGACGCGCAGCGGAGCCACGCCTCCATCCCCAAGCTCGAGCCTTTCAGCAGGAGCCGCATCGAGCGGTGGCTCAAGGATCCGCCTTTCTTGCAGAAGACCAAGAACGACCTCAGCGGTACGCACTCTGCAATCGTTGGTTTCTCTAGTGTTCTTGTCTTTGCGGTTTTGGGTGTACACAATGTTACTGTTGATTTATCTTAAAGTCGTGATTTTTTTAGCCCTAAATTGATGTTGAGGGTTCTACTTGTGAACTAAAAAACAGTAAAATATGGGAATTGAGAACGACTACTTAGATTTACAGGCACATCTGTGCTAGAAATGACTTGTTGCACCTTCGATCAGCTAATCTTCCGGACGAAGATATGGTAAATATCTACTTAATTACTGAATCGAGCAAGAAAGGTAATAATTAGCAAGGTGACATGTTTGCAAGCCTGACCTCATCTGCGCGTCAATTTGCAATATTGAACTGTGAAATTAGATAAATTGCCTAAGGATATCTTTCAGGAATCCACATGTGGCATAAAATTTAGATGTTTGTCACTGATGAATATTGGAAGCTCGGGAGATAGCAATAAGGACAGAGATTAGTATTGGACTGTTGTAGCCTAAACCGGCATATAGAACTTTGAGAGTGCATCATTCTGTCTCTGATCTTAGCATAATGAACCTTGTACACCCTTTATTAGCTCTTGTCATCTTGTCCTAGAAAGAACCACTTTTTTTTTTCTAGCTCTGATTTGTGTCTTCCATGTTATACATAGGATGTTTCTGATTTCGTTCATCCAGGTGACCCGACCCTTTTTGTTGCGGTTGAATTTTGATTCTTCATCCAAGTGAGTTCATACCAAGATTCGTAATATCGTACCATACCGGTATTTTGACCTAGGCTCGATACCAGTACGGTACGGTATATCGAGCGTGTATCGAGGGGTACACAAAGGTGTACCGAGTACTGTAGCACTGCTACGGTGCTACAGTACACTCGGACCGGTAACAGTCGGTCCGCGTACCGACAATCTGTCGGACCGGTACGTACCGCCCATACCGGGCGGTACGGCTCGGTACGACAGACCCTGGTTCATACATGATAAAGTTTTGATTAAAATGTGAACAAATTGATTTATGATCTGCATTGAGGGCATGATCAGGTCTTCATGAAGAGCCACATAAATTAGAAATGGATAATGTCCCTGGACTATTATTATATTAGTGTCACCACTGGATCATTTATTTTACAGTACTTCTTCCAAGTTTGTACCGACTTTGTTTCATCAATGCCAAATATTAGTAGCATTCACCCAAGCATTTCATCCATTCAAAATGACAGCATGGTGTTTCTAAATAGCTAGTAGAAATGTCATGTTGCTCGCGTCTTCTATTCCTGTTTCTTCACTAATTGATGGGATTCTCCAATTTTGTTAGATTGAGTTGGTGGGATACCTGCTTCTCGTTAGACTTCGTTTGGCATGCTAATATATGCCACCTTTCTTTTTCTTGCAGATTACTGCACAACGCTCGAAGGTGATAATTGCCACAGCTGTTGGAGGGCCTATTTTGAGCTGAAAGATCTTGAAGTATGCGTTCTTGGAACAGAATGGCCAATTATTAAGGTGTTGTACGATGTTATCGCTCTTCGCTCATTGTTTTCTTTTGCATAATTGCAGGAGAAATTGCCAAAAGAAGATGTGGAGAAGTTTGTATGGCAGGCTGGTGGAATCAAGTCGCTGATCGGCTATTTGCATGGCCTCACAGCAATGCTAAATAACAAAGAAAAAGAAATTCCACAAGCAATGCTAAATAAGAAAGAAAAAGAAATTCCACAACCCAAACCAGTAACCGCGACTACCGAAAGAGAGAGACCTTTTCCTGTTCCTGATGGATTGCCCCCGACGGCGGAAGAGCTTGAAGAAGCCGAAAAGGCCAGAATGCCTGATTCTCCTTTCACCAAACTTCTCAGAAGCAAAGGGAGGCTTCCTGCTTGGTACACACAAGCCCCAGACCATGAGACCGATTGATTTGTTTCTGGTATCAGCAGCTGAAGTATGGCACATGTACATGCTAGTTCAGTCATGATAGTTGTTGTTGAGCAGCTGAGTATGGCTTCATCACTCTATCTCTGTTACGTTAATGAACAGGTAATGAAGTTACAAGAAAAGCTTATCTATGCTCCACTTGTGTAACATTGATTTGGATTGCATCTGATAATTACACTGTTGAAATCTCTCTCTAAGCTATTTTTGTGAAGGATGAATATATATTCCTGTTTGTAGTGCAGTGCTTGAGCATGAGCTTATGAGCCTAAGAGACACTGCTAAACCACCACCAAGGTGAAGAGGAGGATGATTGGATTGTTTAATCCCTACAAAGAACCAAGTCTCATTATTCCTCAATCATTTCCATAAACCAAACACCAATATCTTATTTTTCACCTCCCAATCAACCCTTTTTTTTGTATTTTTGTTTTCCTTCTTTCTTTCCTTGCAATAAAACAGAAACTCATCTTTAAAATCAAGACATCTATGTAATTTAAAGATATAGTAGTAATAAGAATAATAGGATAATATAAGAAGAATAACAGGAAACAATCTTATCAGTTGTCATGTAAGAATTACTGTGTCTCCAAATGACAAACATACAGGAAGCAACCTATATAGAAAAGAAAGAAGGGCCATTGTACGTTAGCCTATTGCCATTTGTTGGTGTCCCCCAAACATCATGTAGATGATTGGCTTTATCATTGTGGCGATCAACAGCCACAGCATCCAAAGGTTCCCTCAAAAGCAACAGCGGCATGATGGTCGGGAGCAGTAGCATGCCGTCGGTCCAGGGACGTCAAGAGGGGGCGCAACGCGCGTCCGTTCCCCGCCTCCCCAGGCAGCCGTGAACGCACCCGGGCCCGGGGGCGGCAGCTTGCCAGCCACCCCCCCCACCTCGAACGACTCCTCGGGTGGCGGGCCAGTCCTCCCGGCCCTCGGCGGCGTGACCGAGGAGCCCGTGAACGCGACGGTGGAGTGGCTGTCGTCGTCTACAGCGCCCCGTCAGCCTCCCCGCGCCGTACCGCACCTCACCGCCACCCGTCAGCAGCGAATCCGCTCCTCGAGCTCGGCGCATTCCCGAGCTCCCCCCCTCCCTTCCCCTCCCCTCCCCTCAATTATTGCTGCGCCAGGATCCTGTCACCCGCTCCCACCTCTCACTTACCAATCCCTTCTCCGCTACTCAGTACAGCTCTCATGTAGGCGTTCTTCTTTTCCTCTTCTTTTATATGGCGGAAGGTGCAGTGTTCTAAATAACGACATCACGACCGTTAAATCGATCTTTTTGTTTGATCTAAAAAAGTGAAAGAAATGATCATCTCTCACATGCTTTTGATAAGGAGAAGAAGATTCAATTTTCGCCATTCAAACATGCATCGTGTGTTCGATAAGGACTCGACGACAGCAGGCGGTCGTAGAGACTGACATGAAATGACTTGTAGATGCCATTCATGCATGTTGGTGCTGTACGCTCATGTATAAATGGGGGCCTGTGAGATCAGGCAGTGACAGTCACATCCGCTATCCTCTCCTTTGTCGATCCATATCTTTTGCAACTTCATCCGCGTTCGGTGTCCATTGTTGGAGCTCAGCTTGCGTCCGTAATTGATGTTAACACTCGGTAAAAAGTGAGAGAAAGATGCTGTTTGTGTGCAAGAATTACTCGGTGGGTTGAGATGTGTGTGTATATATGTATACTGTATCATTCTTCGTACACTGATGGTAGCACTGTTTTGGTTAACAGTGACAGAGGCCTGTTGCGGAGCTCATGATCAGACTGGGGCTTTCGTCCTCATGCAGGAGGGGTTATCTCCTCCCACCCTCTCGTCCGTATCCACGCCATGCCAACATACCAATGGGAAAGAGCTCCTCCCTCGATCCACCATGTCAGAAGATTCCAAATGCTAGCAGCCAAGGTTGCAGCAGCGGCCATGGCGCCTACTCCCGCAGCATCCAGTCAGCCGTCCCAGCGTGTCAGTCGGCTACTGGAAGCTCAGGTGGGGCCCCGGAATCCTGTGGCTGAGGCAGCGACCGCCCCCACATGGCATGGCCTCAGGCGGCCACCTTCCCGCTCCCCCGGCAGAGATGCTTACTGCAATATGAACACTGGTCGACTGCTGGCCACGGACGCTGCCTCAAGAATGGAGTGCGATATCTCACACACTGTTGTGAAACTGTTCTCGTTCAGATATGACCGTGATTGAAGGCAGGAAAGAGAGCGGATGGAGACGCCAAACCAAAGCCAAAAGTGATCAGCTTCTCCTCGCCTTAATCACTAGTGTCCACGGCGATTTAAGGGATCCCTCCTCATCAACTCAGCCTTTGAAGCCACTCCGTACACGAGGAGACAGCGACGTGGAATATGTTCGTCTCTTTCTTCCTTGCGCCTCCCAATGAGACTCTCCTTATCCATATAAACGCCAACTGTAGCGCCCATAAACCCTGAGAGCGAACCCCACAACCACCCACGCTTTGAGATCTTAAACCGTGTTCAGGGAGAATCTGAGAAGCGAGAGGGTGAACCGATCGGGATGCCGGTGGAGTCCAGAGAAGGGCGGCGACGGCCGGCGGAGGGAAAGCCAGCCGTGGCGGAGGCGAGGGAGAGGTGCCCGCGGTGCGAGTCGCGGGACACCAAGTTCTGCTACTACAACAACTACAACATGTCACAGCCCCGCCACTTCTGCAAGTCGTGCCGCCGCTACTGGACCCTCGGCGGCTCCCTCCGAAACGTCCCCATCGGCGGCTCCTCCCGCAAGCGCCTCCGCCCCTCCCCGGGCCCCGCCGCCGCCGACGCCGTCGTCGTCGCGGCTTTGAGGCCCGGCCGCGCTCTCCCTGGCCACCCTCCGCCGGCGCCGCAGTCCGCGGAACTCGGGCAAGGCCCACTGCTCCCCAGCGGCCCGGTCCAGGCCGGGCTCCTGGGGCTCGACGAGCCGTTCCTCTCCTGCCGGGGTGGCTTCGGCCTCGGGCTCGGTCTGGGGCTCGGGTGCGGCGCCGGCGCGGCGGAGGAGATGGGTTTCGGGCTGGCGCCCACCCTACTGTGGCCGCCGTCGCTGCTGGACGAGGCCGCGGAAGCGTGGCGGGTCGGCAACGGCGGGGGAGGGGACTGCCTCGCGGCTCCGGGCACGGGCCCGGCCGAGGCGGCGTGGCCGGACCTCGCCATCTCCGCTCCGGCGGAGGGTGGAGCCGGGCCGGCGAGGGAGGTGAGCTAACCGGGCGGCGGATCGGCGGGGTCATTCCAGTTTTGGTTTCCTTATGGACGGCCCACGGCGTGTTGCTCGCAGGCGTCCGTCTCGGGTTGTACGGCACATAGCTCATGCATGTCGATTACGTCGAACATCTCAGGACGTGTGTGGAGGCGGATTAGACGGTACTCGTTAGGGTGTGGGATTTGAGGGAGGAGTTGGTTAGGTTAAGTACGTGCTAATCCTTGCCGAGTTTAGTGTATAATTGACGTTGTTACTGCTTCTAATTATGCCTCCTGGTTTTTATTTAGACGGCCTAATTCATTTTAAGCACCACTGTGTTTACGTAATCAATCTTTCTAATTAGCAAATCGAACAGAACGACATAATTCATCCGTGCCAACGAATGGAAGATTTGTTTATGCTTTCACGAGGATAATAATGGCGACAGGACTCAGCTGACGTCAGCCGCCCCAGATGACCCCTCACGCTTCGATCGACCCGACAGCACCTGGTCAAACGGATCAGAACGCCGGCCGATGCGCATTAACGTCCTGCTCGGGCCCAATCCTTCACGCCACGCCAACACCGTTGTTAGATGTGACCGAGAGTACGATCCTACTCCCTGCACAGCAGACACAGTAAGTCACCCTATAAAAACCTCGCTCCCGAGAGGAGCAGGGGGGAAGGAAACACACATAAAAAAGACCTCTTCACTTAATCTGACTGAACCGTCGGAGGGGTCGGGCCGAGCTTCGACCTGACCGATGTGCAGGTACGAAGACGGAGCTACTTCCCCACCAATACCGAGGAGAGGGACTCTTTCATACGGGACATCCCGACGTGATCCGATCCGCACGGTCGCCCACATCAGCAACCCCGAGAGACCTTGAGCAAGATCCCCACCATTCGGACCCGAACAAAGCCGCGTCGACCCCGAGGCCACGGCTTAAAGTTGTTTACACCAACATGCACATGCTTATAGGAGCTATTCTCATTGTAAAAAAAATAAATTGAAGCTATAAATTTGTCATCTATTAAACTCCGCGTTTGATTTATGGATTTCTCCCAAAAATCTAAATAAAGATTAAATTTAATTGAGTTCAAAGCAATACCCGTTGCCAACCAAATAGAGCCAGCCACACGCATGGCACGTGCTTACGAGATGCCCTCATGACCTTCTCTTCTCGTGCACGCCGGGGATAACTAGGTCGGCTCCTAGGAATAGGCTAATCCCTCAACACCGATAGAGCAGACCGGGGTTCGCCAACTCCCAGCCGTCGGCCGAGGCGATGTCTTCCCTTCTCTCCCCGCTCCGCCTTCCCCTGCCACCTCCTCGTCCTTCCTCATCGAGCCCAGCCGCTCCGAAGCCAAATGTCTACGCCGCTTTTCGCATATCCACGGCAAATCCCGCATCACTTTTTGCCCAATCTCTCGTGGCTGTTAAAATTATCTTCTTCTTTTTCTATTCATTCACTTCCCGTGGTTCGTGCGCATCAAATCTTGACTCTTCATCCTCACGATTTCTCACTCTCGTACAGGTCCAACGGCCAATTCTATCCCTGCCTCCGACAACAGGAAGTTGCGGCTTTTCCAAGTCCCGTGGCGGGAGATGCGTCGTTCCGCTTGCGATGAGTGCAGCAGCTTCTGGGGATTCTGATGGTTCGACGAGATTAAGTATGGATGCCATCCGTAAGCTGTTCGATGGATTTCCTCAACCAGTTAAGAGCTTTCCCTGGATGAGAGTGCTATGGAGCTTTCAGAACATCATCTGTGAGCTTGTCTGGGCGGTTGCCAAGTATCTCAGTGTGCCTCTTCTAGCCGTCACTTCCCTCAGCGAGATGTCATACTGCGCCCATGAGAGAAAGATGGGTGTGATACCGATTCCGGTCGTCGTTGGGTTTGCAGTTGCTGGGTGCCTTAAGGATGCTGCCGAGCAGTTTTCGTCAGATCTCAAGGTTTGATTGATACTCGATTGTTTCTTGTTCGTCGGAGTTTTATGAGCCTTGCTCCTGATACCAATGCGCTTCTAACGTTTGGTTGCCTTTCTTAGGAAGGAGGGCTTCCCTGGCATTTGCTTCTGATTGCGAGCTTCTTCGCATTGCTCAAATTGCCCGGCCCGTCTTATCCATACTGGGGGCGGTTATTAATTCCTCACCTTGCTAATGGTGGTCTTGGGAGGACTATTTGGCTAATATTTATGTGGTACAGAAGGCCTAATGCGGTACCAGGAGCTTCTTAATAAAGTGGTTGTTTATTTGGCTCATCTTTGTCCGGTTTAAAGAACAGGTATTTGTCTTCTCATAATAAGTTCACTGTAGGTGGAATCGAGGTACAAGCAGATCTTTCATATTGTAGTATAATGTAGCAATTATTTTTTCTTTCTTTTTCCTAGCGTGATCATTTGGCATAACTGAAACAGACTGCCTCGTATATTAATTACTCGGCCTCTTCTTTCCTAAACTGACAACTGGCTGATTAACTCGATCTTCTTTTAGCTTTGTTGCACGATAGCGTTCTTAGATGCAACTAAAGAACACAGTTGGATCAATTTGGAAAATGAGTATTTTAATTGGTAGTCATTTATATATCAGGATTTGTGACGGAAGCAACAGCCTTGACAGAGAACAAGTGAAATTTAAAATAAAGTGATTGTTATTTATGAATCAATTGCTGAATAAGGTGATCCAAATGTGTTTAGCATTGGGCTGTTTGATTGGTATCATGTCATGGCACCAGGGCAGCAAGTAGCTTTAAGGATATTTAAGAAACACTCTTCTGTCTTTCATATATGCTGTTTAAACACCATGGAGAAATTGAAAATTGTCTAAGATTTCATCAGATGTTTAACATATAATATGGTGATGTAAGTAAGACCTCAGTGGTTGATTGCTTGTTACTAAAGAAGCACTATAAAGATAAAGTGCATGGAGCTAATGGATGAAGTGTGAAATAAACTACATCAAGTGATATCTCTAGAGAGTTTACTTTGGAGGGCTGCATCGTGTGTTTTTGCAAGTTTTTCCAAGTCCTTACATCAAGTGATATCCCATGGTGACTACCGCTAAGTCTTCTTCTCATCCTTCTATAGGTCCACTCAGATTCTGACTCAAGTTAATGGATTCTTCACAAGAAATTTTATGAATCATGCCCGTGCCGTTTCTTCATATCCATTATTAATCTTGTGGCAGCTCATCTAATTATCTTGTTTCTCACATTCATCCTTTATGGCTCAACTCAATGTTACCTTTTCTAATATGATTGTTTTGTCTACCTGGGTCCCTCAATGCTGAGCATTGCCATCTTGCAGACCTTGTGTCTTTTTGGAATAGATGCAAAGCTATGCTTTATAATAGGATATATGGAATTCTTGCTACATTGCTCTCAACTGCACCCACCCGACATTATTGTTTAATTCTGATCTATTGTTCATCAAACATTATCTGGCACATTATTCTTATTTCCATCTAGTGAAACAGACTTCTTTAAATAAATGTTTGCGCTGCTGCTGTTTTTGATCGTCAAGGCTTTCTCTTAAAACTTGACAAACTTAGAGTTTTCATTTTTGGCCATCGGTAAGGCCCTTTCAATGCTAATCATCAGATTCCACAGAACATCCTTAATAAAACAATACAAATGTTGTACCTATATTTGATTAAATCCCTTTATCATCACTTTCTGGAAGTGTTAGTTACTTCATGTGCATATAATATTTAGTTTGAGATTCCTCATCCTGTTCACGGTAGCATGGAACAGCTTAAGTTCACAGTCAAGACGAATAATTGGCCCAGACTTAAATGGTTTTAACTATTAGGTAGATTAATGATTTATTATTATATTTAGATACCATTTATTTGTTTGCATATTTTATATCATTTTTTATGAAATTTGCCTTTTTATTTTCACTTACTATGGGCGTGGATGATTTCTTGCCATAACTTGGCAGTGATAAAAACTATAAATAAAAGTTGAATTTTCCTGATAGATTCTATGAATCCATATTATCCTGGTCATAATAGATATGTTTATACACGTTCCTTCATTATATCCATTATTTGTTTTATAGCTACATTCTTTTATGCAGCATCATGAAGAATTTCTAAACCAGCTAGTCTATGAAAAGTCCTATGGTTTATCGATGAGCAGAAGACAGCGAGAAGGAAATTTGAAAGGAAAGAAGAGAAAGAAGGAAGGATTTCTTTCGTAAAATATAAGATCTTCCTCTTTTTTTTGCATAGTTTCTTCTGATGATCAAAACCTAGCGCACCATTGGCAGATACAATCAGGTTAACCATCTACGCGCAGCACCAACAGCAAAAGTCTGTCAACAGTCCTCTAAAGGTTTGTAGTCACTAAACCTCAACTAAGTGCTTTAGAACCCAACACACTGAAGAATGACAAGATGTTCAAATGATGCCGTGGGATTCCCTGTTGTTTGGCAATCACCCATGTTATGTTCAATTAGACTAAAAACATGTTATGTTCTGTGATCACGGGCTCTCTAACATTTCAGCCTCCATTGTTAATCATGAAAGAAACGATGGGGTTGGAAAAGAAAAATGCATTAGAGTTAGGTATAG